ATAAGTCGTAGAAGTCACCAGATCCGTTGGACCTCAACGCGATATTCGAGTTCGGTTTAACAAACGCAATGTTTTGACAGTATGTCAGATAACAATTATATTATCAAATTATCGCACCCCTATATTTAGGCGAAAATTGAAAACTGTGGAGGAGACGTCTACGACACCATCTCATGCGCAGACACGATCTCAGCTCGGTTATTTCACGAAATAACATCGTACACGGGATTATTACTTCAGTAGGCGAGGAGATCGAACAGCGAAGATGAGACGTGTTGCACATAAGCGTAACATAACGCGTCATGCGACGTGGCAACGAGTGTATAGGGTTCAAAGGAAGGCAGAGGAAGCCGTGTGTGGGTGGGAACGATTGGATTAATTTATCGCGTGACAGTGTTACCAGACTCGCAAGATCCGTGAAGGAAGCGACGTTTCTGTCGTTGAGCATGAAGCGCGAGTCGTAATAAGAAAAGCAGAATGAAACTCGGAGAAGCAATTGGCGTGATTTAATTTTTCGCGGTAAGCTCCACTTCGTATCGCAGGACGATCTCGGCAGGATTCGAGATACGCTCGTGTATGTGTGATATCACAGTTGTATTGCTATAAATCGCGTAAAAGCCGGAACTTTATTCCAAAAACGAACAGAACCGCATCCTTGAGCACCCGCACGAACTATCTGTATCCGAGTGCAGTGTGTGCGTGCGTGTGTATGAAAATATTCGATACTTTACTTTTCAACCGACTTTGAATAAGAAAGTTCTTCTGTTGTTCCGTATATATGTTTGTTTGTTCTTTTATAACTCGAGAACCGTTAGAGATATCCAAGTGAAACTTTTTGCAACTTATTCAGTACGTTACTTGCATAATTCTTAGATTAGTATAATTACGCGGCTTTGTCCAGGTGACCTGGAAGTTGGATAATACCGTTACTTTCTTGAAAATGCGAGAAACATTTAGAGCTACGAGACTTTTATCTTTAATCGACTTCAGAAATAAATTTTTACTAAGTAATTAAAAAGTATAAGGTAAAATTTTTTGTATAAAAATTAACCGTCTTCGGGGACCTCAAAATTCTTGAAAAGTGTGAAATTTCGAATTTTAAATTATTATTTCTGTGTATCTACAGAGCCTAATTCTAATATTTTAACCATATTAAGAATCGTGAGAATGGTTAATTAGGCATTAACTAAATATATAGGAGATAAGTAAGTACTCTCTTAAAGTGAATCAGTGAATAGTCACTGATATCAGTTATAAGTACAGTATAGCACTGAGCAGTTTCAGTGTTTCTGTATATTTACTGCTTTCAATGATGTTTCACTGATTCACTTTAAGAGAATATGCTTATCGACTCAATCGACCAGCTTTTCGCGCCGACTTCTAACATTATTAGGATAGGATTGTAAGTACACAGGAATATCGAGTTAAAATTATTTCACATTTTTCGGGGTTTATGAAGATGATTGATTATGGTTGGAAAAAAAAGTTGTTTGAATCAATACTTTCGAAAGTATTCAGTACTTTAACTCTTTAAGTATCACTGGTACAAATAGGGACCACTTAGGATCGGGCAGTTGAAACATTATAAATGTGCTATTTAGAGTGTTTTTGGAAATATTTCATTAAAAAAAAGTTACTAGAATGTTCCATGAATTATGCGCCTTAGGCCCAGTTCCACAACCTCTAGTTGACTTAACTGACCGGCTATTCCATTGGACTTGACCAATCGCATTTAGTATTAAGAAGAGTTAATTAGAATTAACCAATCACTGTTGAGACTTAACCGGTAGTTAAAGTTAAACGGAGGTTGTGGAACTGGGCCTTAAAGGGTTAATCTCAGATAGTGAAAAATTTCACGTATGAGCTGACACCCGGAACACTCGAGTTTACGCGACCGCTCGTGCGTTTATGGTCTTGTCGAATAGCGATTTGCGCAAGATGACAATCTCACGAGCCGTTAATTCGTCGGCGGCGTGGGTCGTCGACGGGCGATCGCTTGGAATTCCCGGCGTGTGACGGAAATTCTCTCTCGCGGCCGATGCTCGCTTGCGTATTCAGCGCGTCGCGTCTTTTCGGTCATTCACATTTCCAGACGCTTCTCCTGAGGTTTCTTCTGCTTCGCCCTTTGCCGATCCCGACTGCGTGTCGCGTGGCCGTGCGTGCAGTGGGAACACGCGTTATCGTAATCTGCTTTCTGAGCGTATCGCGTCTCACGATGCCGGCGCCATAACGTAATCTTTGGCCTCGTCTTTCTGGTCACGTATAGGGCCGAAGGAAAAAAAGGAGGAAAATCGGGGGGGAGGAAAGAATTCGAAAGGAGAGACGCGTCGCTGTCCGCCGTGTCGTTCGGCGCCTCACTCGCGATGCCCCTTTCTGAGATTGAAAATTCCGTTTCGCCGTCTCGACCGAGACGCCGAGACGCGTGCCCCCGACTCAAAATCCGGAAGAAACTATTTACAAGTTTCGGAATTCTTGCCGCGACTCTGATCCCACGACGCCGTTACATCACCATCGATACTTATTCTCGGCACGGTATTCATAGTCGATCGTTACTTGACGAGCAGCGGAATAGTTTCGACGAACGATTTTCGAGAGACCGCGATCCACGCCCGTCTCCTGGCTGGAGTTCTCCGACGGAGTCCCCATCACGTGAAATTACGAGTTATCCAATTATATATGGTTAATTATTTATCGACGAGCCACTGAGCGATCGCCGGATTATTTTCGCTGAATTAGACGTTACCATGGAGCGGGGAGTCGCGTCCGCGAGCACGCCGTGCTGTTTAATTGAAAGCCCAGCTGGATGACTTTCGGCCGTTACATCATTCGATTACGCATATTATAGTGACGGATCGACGGCGGTAAACAACGCGACACAACGACACGCGCGGCCGTCGCGACGCTGCCCAATATTACATTTGATCTGATATCGCATTTCATCCAATTACGGGTGCACTCTAATTTACACCTCTCTGTGTCCTCTCGCCGGCCAACAAAAACCCGTCCTTGTGGCGACCGCGAAATGAACTATCGATTTTGCATTAGCTATATAACGAGCACAGCCGCGACGCCGGTTTCGCATTTCGTTACGGAATATAAATCGCCATATCGACCGCGGCGAGAGCACTGACGCGATACCGATCGATCCATTGGTCGATCGCGATGAATTAATGCCAGATATGTCGCTCGATTGAACCCCAAAATTTAATTAATCACTTTCCAAGTCATCGATTCGAAAAGTAAATTCGAAATCATCAGTGTTGACTCCCTTATCACCAATGAGGGACTTGTATCTCGTTTACACGAGAGAATGTCATAGTTTTGTACATTACAAACTCTGTTCAATTTTACAATGTTTCTAGTAGTGCAGAAGTAGTGTTAATATTGGTGTTTGTTTTGTTAAGAAATTTAATAAGTTTCATTAGAAACATATACTGAGGGAAAAGATATCTAAGAAATAAAAAATATATTGAGTACTAATAAAAATTACTTGCAACAAAACTCAAAATGCTTTTCGGATAAGAAAATATACATTTTCTTAAAACCTTAGCTTTTCATGAAAGTAATTGTTTATTTCATATTCCAACAAGGGTAATTCCAACAAGGGAATTTAGATTTAAATATGTTATTAGTGTTCACCGAATAAACATTTAAAAAATTTTTGTCGACATATTGTCTCTCAAATTTCGTTAGAAACGGCAAATTTTTTAACGGCATATGAAATGAAAGGATAGTTAATCATTGTAGAATATCGATCTGTTCGTCGGTTATAAAATTTTACAGTAATTTTTGCTACAAGTTCTCTCCGTGTACAATCTTCTTAAAGTTACTCATATTTTCTTTTTTTAAGAACCATTCATCGACAAAAGTACCGAAGAAGAAAAGGAACTTAATTCCGTCGTAAAAGGATCAAGAAGATAAAGCCATACCTTAGAACCGCGCTCCGTGGATTATCGATAATCTGAAGATAATTAATTTCTCTATTCTTCTTATGCTAAAGATGAAGCTACGATCTCGCAGGAAGCTAATCCGGCGTCAGTTAATTCGGATCGTCGATGCGTTTCGGCGCGACTATCGAGCGCGTTACTTCACATCTTTTTCATATCCATTGCCGCTTCTCGAGCTTTCATTGCGCATATCGAAACGGGTATCTCCCCTTCCCCTTTTCCGCAAGATACCGCGCGCGGTCAACGACGCAGCGGGATTGGCAAGTTTCCTGCGAATTAAAGCGCATTCGACGGTGTGCCAAGTTTAGCCGGACGTGCGTGAGCAAACAGAGATAACTGTGTCGATGCTCGGCCAAAACGCGAGGGGCTCAGAGCGACAGAGAGAGATAGAGAGAAGGAGAGAGAATTACACGCGTTGAGGGGGTCGAGAGTGGTTGGGTATCGTCGGTGAGATAATATTTATTATCCCGCGGCGTCGTCGTTACCGTCAACGATTATACGCCAGTTAAAATCCGAAATTACGAGTCTGGTATCGCCAACCCCCCTCCCTCCATCCCGTCCTTGTCCTCTGTCCGCCAGTACTCGTTTCAATGGAGAAAAACAGAAACTGTATGCTGCCCAGTAATGGAATGCGCAAAGTTAAATTGGTGCGAAAGCAGAGCGAACATTTTTTCCGCGGCGGGTGTGCCGCGCGCAAAAAAACAAAACCACCACTGGCTCGCATGCAAAACGTCGAGGCGAAACGGCGTGTTTACTTTCCCGATAAATCGACACGTTGATTGGTACGTTGATTGATACACGGCGCGCCGGAGTTCCGCGACTTCCACATCGGGTTCTTTGACGAGTTCGACGTTAATTTCACGATGGTGGTACACTCGTCGTAGCCCAGCTTGATATGCCCGGATTGAACGTCGTGACGGTCATTCGAATTTGCATGTAGGTCGCAGTGCGACGTACAAGGAGAATTTCTCCGCATATGTCAGACTTGTTATCTCTCGCGCGCGGTTTCGTTGAAGATATATTATACATCGGTGCATAAATAAGATTACGTACCTCGTTCTCGCGACTGCCAAATATCCGTGCCCCCTTGGCGCTCCTTTCGAGAAGAGGCTAGGTCTGCAATAAGACAAAAGTAACGGAAACTTATCGCCTGGCTTAGCTCTTGCTCCAACTCTGCGCGCAATTCAACTCGCAACATGCGAGTTCACGTCCAGAGTAACTAAATAACCTATTACTACTTACTACCTAGTATTCTCGCGCACGATTACTTTTGAATTAATAAGCGGGATTAAACGCGCGATACGTGAGACTCGTTTATTAGATTTCCCGAGGTAACGTGAGATGAGGAGCAAAAACGCTACCAAGTGCGTCCATCGAGAGCCGAATAAAAAGCAAATTGTCCCCATATATATATCGAGAAATCTCCTCTCGCCTTCGGTAAAAACGACGACGCACGTGCACTTCTAATCGCTTTTTCCTCTATGCGAACTGCTCGCAATCCCCTTGTCCCTCGTTTTCTCTCGTTCTCTCTCTCTCTCTCTCTCTCTCTCTCTCTCTCTCTCTCT